TAAAACAAGTGTTTGTTTGTTTTTGTTTTTTTGCAAAATAGTGTTGTTGGATTATGTCCCCTGAGATTCTCACGGAATCTCTTTCCATTTGGTTTATTACCTAACTTCTTTTATCATCTAGATCAGGGGTTTCCAACTTACATAAGGTTGAGGGCCACTATTAAAAACACCAGTGAACTGGCGGGCCGTAACTTTGTCAAAATCTTATATGACTGTGGAGAATTAAGAGAAATTAAAAAATATTTAAGACACGAGCATGCACAAAAATTTACGTAACGCTTCCACCCACGTCAGCAGATGATATGTACGAGCTAAGTAATACGGTCGCTTTACTGCAGAGCTCTGTTTTTCCTTTTGTTGCCTGTTTTAATAAAATGCTGATAATTTTTTGATCTGTCTAATTAATTAAGAACCTCGGTGGACATCCTTTGGACAAGAATAAGTAAGTTAAGCGACATAGTGGCATCTCTGCCAGGATGTGCATCGAATTGTAAAAAATCAACTACGCAGTAAGAAGAAACCACAATTACGTAAGCATGGATGCGTCAAAACAATTACGAGCGGCTTCACAGACAAGTGTTATGAAAGCATTAAATAAATTAGAAAGATTAATATGATCTAAGACACCGGATATCATTGAAATAGAAATAAATTTAGATACTTTAATTGAAAAATTTAAGCAGCTACGTGATACTCAAAACTTACACCTACGAAATATGCAAGCTGCAAAATGCTCGAAGCAGGAGTACAACAATGAATTTAAAGCTTATTCTAATGTATTTAAGGATTGGTCATCTTTAGGGATTATTGAAGTGGCCAACGATGAAAAGGTAGATAATGTTCATTATTTGCTTCATAGACCAGTAGTTAAGGAAAATTCTAGTACGAAAATAAGGCCGGTTTTTAACGCATTAGCAAAGTCGGCCGGAAAACCATCTTTAAATGAATGTTTGGCTACTGGACCAAACTTAATAGAAATGATCCTGTCTATTCTTAATCGATTTTGTAAGAATTTTGTGAGTATATCTGCGGACATTGAGAAAGCATTTTTACAGATATCAATAGGGGAAAAAGAAAGAGACTTTTTGCGATTTTTGTGGTACAGTGAAGACAATTCGGGTGAGCTTAAAATGTATCGGCACGGAAGGGTAGTTTTCGGAATTACCTCAAGTCCTTTTTTACTTGCCGCTACATTGTGTTACCATTTAAATCGAGTTTCTGAAAATTTAAATAGTACTGCAAATATTTTTAAATAATCATTTTATGTAGATAATTGTGTAACTAGTCTAAGTACAGAAACTGAAGCTCAAAATTTTATTTTAGAATCACAATGTATAATGTCTCAGGGTCATTTTAATTTAAGAGATTGGCAGACAAATTTACCTGAATTATGTGTTAAGGATTCATCTATTACGAAAATTGCACCAATTTTGGGACACGGAGAAAGACACTTCGTCATGTAAGATTGAACGAGCAGATAATTCTGGCGAATTAATTATGAAAAGACAAGTGTTAGCTGTGGCTCATCAGGCATTTGATACAATAGGTTTTATGGCACCGGTAATGTTATTACCTAAGTTAATTTTACAAGAAACTTGGAGTTTAAAAGTTAAATGGGATGACAAACTACCTGATAATTAGATTAGGAATTTAAATCTTGGTTTATACAATTACCTTTGCAACGGAACATTAAGATTCCAAGATGGTTTTGTCTCGATTTGTCAAATACCTTGATGAGTCTACATGTGTTTTGTGACGCAAGTAAGCTAGCTTATGGAACTTGTGTGTTCGTAAGAGTTGAAAGTACCAATGAACCTTTTGTAAAAGTTAATTTAGTGCAAGCTAAGAGCAGAGTTGCACCTCTAAAGCCATTGACAATACCAAGGCTAGAGCTTCTTGCATGCTGTATTGGCTCTAGATTGTTAACAAATATAATTAAAGATTTGAATCTTGACAATATTGATAACTATTGTTGGACAGATTCAACAACAGTTTTAAGTTGGATAAAACGGGAACTCAAATGGGGTATTTTTGTTCAAAATCGTGTAAAAGAAATTCGTTCTATGACTTCTCACACCATGTGGCGTCACATTCCCGTATCTTTTAATGCTGCCGATCTTTCTTCGCGAGTTGTCCAACTGAGCAGCTTATTGAACGTCGTTGGTGGGAGGGGCCTAATTGGTTGTATGAAAACGAATTAAATTGGCCAAAATCCTTTAAGACCCCAGATGAGAATTTAGTCAACTCTGAACTGTGTAAATCTGTCGTAAATTTAAGTAAAAATGATAATGTTTATGATAATTGGTATTATAAATATTTTTCTTCATAAAAGAAAACTGTAAGTATGATAGCTTGGATTTTTAGATTTTATAATAATTGTAGAAACTTAGATAAGAACTGTTCTAAATTTTTGAGTGTAAATAAATTGGATAGAGCAGAGAAAAGTCTCATTCTTTTGATATAAAAGGACAGTTTTACAAGCATCAATGATAATAAGTTGAAACAATTAAGGCCATTTTTAGATAATGATGGCATTATCAGAGCTAAAACTAATTTAGTTTTACGTAAAGATAAATATAATTTCATTTATCCAATTATATTACCTAGTAATCATCCAGTTGTCAAATTGTTAATTCTTAATTGTCATAAAGAACTTTTACATGCTGGTACTACTATGATAATGTCTCATTTAAGAGAAAAGTTTTGGATTTTGAAAAGTTGTAAAATTATATGAAATTGTATAAGACAGTGTGTAAAATGTTTAAGATTTAATGCTACAAAATGTAATGTCACGCCTGGAATTTTGCCTAAAGTTAGAGTTAATGATGCGTTTGTTTTCGAAATTGTAGGCGTCGATTTAGCCGGACCATTATATCTTAAGGATGGGAAAAAGTCTTATATAGTATTTTACACATGTGCTGTGTACCGGGATATACATTTAGAGTTAGTAACTCTATTAACTATGGAAGCCTTTTTTCAGTCCTTTAGACGTTTTATTGCGCGCAGAGGAAGACCATCGTTAATATATTCCGATAAAGGAACAAATTTTGTTGGTGCGCAAAAGATTCTTCATCCGATAGAACGGGACAAGTTAGCTTCAAAAGCTGCAGAGCATGAGATACGGTGGAGGTTTAACCCTCCTTCCGCCGCCTGGCGGGAGAGGTTAATACAAATGGTGAAGCGAATTTTACGTAAGATATTAGGACGCTCTTCCTTAAATTATGAGGAGTTGGTCACAATTTTGCGTGATTGTGAAAGAATAATTAATACGAGACCCCTCAACAACGTATCGGAAGATGTAAACACCGTTGAACACTTTGACTCCAGAAATGCTTCTGCATGAAATACCTTCTTCAGGTGTTACAGACATCGATACGGCAGATAAGGAAGGTTTAAGTAAGAAAGCTAAACATCTCCAAAGAGTAAGAGAGTCTTTAAGAAATAGGTTTAGGACTGAATATTTAGGCCAGTTACGTCAACAAACTATAAGAGATTTTAAGGATAATCCTTTAGTGGTCGGTGAAATTGTTTTAGTTGAAGATGCTAATAAAAAACGTGCTTTTTGGAATTTAGCTAGAGTATTGAAATTAATTCCAGGTCATGATGGCAAAACAAGGCTTGCTCTCATAAAGACAGAGAATTCTGAGTTTATGAGACCTGTCCAGAGACTTTATAGATTAGAAGTCAAAAGTTAAATGTTTTTGCGAATTTTTATGTGTATATGTTTTCTGTTCAAGTTATATGTATGTCATATTTGTGTGTCATTTTATAAGTTTAAGTGCATTTCATTTTATAAGTGTTTCATAAGATTCAACTTTTGAGTGTAATTAAGATTAATTAAACTCAAAAGGTGGGAGTGTATGTGGAGAATTAAGAGAAAGTAAAGAATATGTAAGACGCGCGCATGCGCAAAAAAATATTTAACGCTTCCACCCACGTCAGCAGATGATATGTACGAGCTAAGTTATACGGTCGCTTCAATGCGGAGCTCTGCTTTTCCTTTTCTTGTGTTTCTGTTTTAATAAAATGTTAATTTTTCGATCTGCCTAATTAATTAAGAACCTCGGTGGACATCCTTTGAACAAGAATAAGTAAGTTAAGCGACAAGGACTCTTTTATGTTTGAAGGAACAGTAAATATTACTATCAGATTTTTATCAAGTTGTTCAAAACAGAAGTATTGAATTACAAATAATAATAAATATTTTCTTGAATAAATATTTTCTTGGATACAAAACCTGAGAAATAAATTTATCTACACCGCTGGTATGCTAAATTTCACAGAAACGAAGAAATTAGTTTTTTAACGAAAGAAAAGTATTTTATACCCATTTAGATTTTTTACTAAAATTGTCCGCAAAAAAATGACAACTAATGTATTTTAGTTTGGGGGCCACCAAAAAAGGCTTCGTCGGCCGCCAGTTGGTAACACTGATCTAGGTCAAGCTTGTTCGTCTTTTTTATTATTGAGAAAAGTTACTTTCTCTGAGAGATCAAAACAAATAAGACTTTTTAATCTGTATAATTTACGAAGAAAATAAAATGTTTATTTCACCACGAATATCTTTTCACTTCAGTTTCTTGGGATTAATTATTTCAACTTGCTAAGTTGCTCATAATTGATCAGATTTAAAAATTGACACTAAAAGAATTAAAATATTTTTAATTGAAGGACATCTTTGCGTACTTAACTGCACCTTATACTCACTTACCCAAAAATGTTTCATCTGAACTTGACATTTATTTTAAGATCTTATTTAAATGATCCTTAAACTACAAAATGGTTATTGCTATAACAAATGAGAAACATTTGTTTAAATTGAAAAAGTTAAAATATGCAAGTTTCATTTTGCATCACTAAATAGGTTCAACTTCATAGTGGAAAATTTATTAGCTTAAATATCATTCTAATAAATGACCATACAGCTTATATGTTTTTCATTTTATTCTGCTACTTCTACCATTCATTTGCTTATAGAAAAACATTTTGTTATGACTCACCATCCTCATAAGGATTGCAACCAAGAGACCAAGATTCAGCATTGTTTTCAGTGTTTACACCAAGAGCTAGATCTAAACTTCTATTCACATGAGAATTAGACAGGAGATCCTAATAAGAAAAGAATTACCATTTAGATTTCTAACAAATTAAAAGTTTTTAATATTGCCCATTGGAATATATCCTATACCTGGGTTAAACCTTTATCACATTCAGTTTCATATAATGCATCATAAGGGACATCTCTGCTGCTGTCTGTAAAAAGTAAAACAAATTTAATAAAATTTAAATTTGAAAACATAAATTGCAAATGAGTCTCAAAAATGAAAGCACTTGAAAAAAATAATAGATATTGAAAAATAAATGTATGATGCAACTGTTGAAAAGAGTAGTCAAAAACTTGGGTGAGAAATGCAATACTAAAAGCACAAATATTATTATTTAGATTTATTGCAGACATAATGTATATATGACATAATGTAACTAGATTTTTTCATCAGTGATGCTTGTTTGAGTTTTACCCTTCAAATACTGAAAACGAATCAAATGAAATCAACAACACTTAGAAATCATAACGTTTTTAATCCTGTATAAATCTGAAAATTTTAACAATGATTATGCAAACGTAATTTCTCAGTTAATAATTAAAACTGGTCAAAAACGTACCAAAAATTTTTCTAAGTGTTTTAAAATTTGTAAGTATCTTGAATCTGTAAATATCTGAAGTAAATATAAAATATGTTCTAAAATAACTGACTATTTCTTGACAAAAAATAAAATGAAATGAAATTTTTTTTTATTAACGATGCTGGCATTTTTCATTAAAAAGTAGAATTCAGGGTTGTGATTTTGGACGTCCTAAACTGGTTTTGGACAGGTCACGTGGGTTTTACTGTCCTAAACTGGGTAAAACTGTCCTAAACTGGGTTAAGCTGTCTTAAAGTGTCCAAAACCTTGAATTCTGGTAAAAGGTAAAAATTCTATAGGTGTAACCATTGTACACATAATAATTACATGTATCAATAAATATTTGATATTTTTTATACAATTTACTTTAACTTATTAAAAGAAAATAATATTATATAATAGGAAAAGGTTTACAATTCATTGAACAACATAAGTGAATACCTAATCCTTTAAATATAAATATGCTTTTAATACTGATAAATAATATTTTTGCATAAGGATAAATATGGCAATATTAAAAAATAATAATTTTTCTTAAAAAAAATACTAAATTTGTTCAAAAATTAACCTTTTATTTTTCACAATATTTTTTTAAAAAAATGTTATAATTTCTGCATCACAGGATGATAAAAAAGACATCTATTTTTAAAAAAAATTGTTTTTAAATATAAATATATTAGTTTAAATTGAAAATACAAAATAACTGAAAAATGTATTAACAGTTTTGAAGGGCATAACATCAGTTTCAGTTACTGACACTGGTGATGTATCACCACTATGCTAAAAGAATTGAGCATGAATGAAATAAAAGTATTCTTGAATAGTACTATAGATAAATAAATCTGTTTATGACGAACCAAGCACTTAGTCCCTAATATTTTAACCTGTATGGCAAGGCCAAACTTCAGTTATGTACTATTGAATGAGAGGACCAATTGAACTTGATTACTGATTAATCTTCCTTTGTTTAAATTGAAGAGTCAAACAATATTAATAAAACATTATACTTTTAAAAACAAATATTCTCTGGTATATTTAATTATCAATATGTTATTAGTTCTATGTTTATTTTACCTCTTAAATATTGTTTAAAATTGTGACATAATTTGAGTAAAAGGGTTTTGGACAAAGGGGTTTAAACCAGGGTTTAAACCGTGGATTAATCCATTCTGTCCTAAACCTTGCCAACAAAACAGATTACAACAAAAAAGCGCCATGGGGAGTGCCAGAAAAAAAAAATAAAAAACACTATTTTGATTGCAATTATTCCTACAAACACATCTATATCAGGTAGCAACTTCGATGCTAGCTTCAATAGCTGTCGTTAAATCATTTTCAGATAAATTATGTCCGCAATAATGGATCCAAAAGATATGCAGTGTGCTGAGTGAAAAGAGAAATCGTAACTGTTACTTAAAATTGATTTTACATACTTTTTTTTTTAGGTCAAGGGTGAAGAAGGCAACTACTCACTTATTTTTTCACATCAAAGGTTTTTAAATATAATTGGGATTTCTGAAATAGAGAGTATTGCAGGTTGCATGCAGTCTGAACTTGCACTTAAAATATATCCAGTAGATGCCTTCGTACATTTGGAGACAGTGATATTGTGTCATATATAGCAGTAGTATAGCGGAGGGAGGGAAAGAAATCACCCTAAATAACTTTGATTTAAAGATCGGATTTGCACGTGTTAAATGTTGATCTTAATGGTTCCAGGAGGTAACTTCAAATATGCTAATTAGGATTTGAGCTAAGCATTCCCTACCTCGCCAAATGTGATAAAATCGTAAATTCTGCAAATAAAATTGTGTTTCGTCGAAAGTATTAGCAAATAATTTTTTTCGCTGGAGAGAAATTCAATTTGCGTCAAAATTAACAAATCAGTATTTTCAACTCAATTACAGTAATTCTTGGTAGATGTGTCGCATAACCAATTAGAATTGGGTCCAAATAATATAACCTGAAACAAATTACCGTAAAATAGTTTTCTATGGGGAAAAAATTAATCATAACACTTTTTTAAGATTTCCATTAGGCAAAGACTTTCAGAATACTGTATTTCACCTCAGTAACCTAATAAAAATCTGCTTAACTATCTAACTTAAGACTGATCAGTTTTTTTAATTTATTTTTCTAAGGAAAGCAACTCAATTTCAATTTTTTAAGAAGCAACTCAACTCTATTTAGAACATATCAAATCAATCATTTTGCTTAGAATAGCTTAAAAAGTGTAAGCATGAAGAGTAATATATATATTTTTTTTAATATTCTGTAGTTATATATTTTTGTTTGTTTTTTGAGAAAAGCAACTCGGGTCAGTATTAAGAAACCATTTTTGAATTTAAGCACATGCCTATACTTAGATTAGCATAAATACTAATCTAAGAACTATGCATTCGGTTATAAGTAAGAGACCTTGCTAATACCAGCAAAGGCGTAGTTTGGGCTTACAGTGCCTGGGATAAACATTTTACGCACCCTGACATACATAATATATATAGATGATATGTCAGCTTTAGAGAGTACTTTTTGAGACTTATGAGTTTCTGTAAAACTAAATTCTTTCATTAAATTTTACATATGATCATTAATTAAATTTATCACAGCTTTAAATCAATGCAACTCAACAACCTAAAAACTTCTATCCGATTTTGTTTTAAGTTTTAAAAACAAAATTAATGAATACCATCCCTCTTTTTACAACTGATAAAACTTATTTAAAAAATTATTATGTGAATATTTTTAAATCTTTTATCGTGAACAATAGAATAGATTTTATTTCATAATGAGTTAATGCAGAGATAAATATTCATATTTACCTTTAAACAGTATATAAATTTAATTAAGAAGCTAAAATCGCTATATAATCAATAAACATGAAATTAATTTAATGAAATTACCAGGGATGAACATCATTAAACAAATCACTCTTAATGTTTACATACATGTCAAATTAACAACAAGGTCAAACAAAGAGAAGCAATTTATATAAAATCGATTACAAAAAAATGCAGATTGTTTTGATCTTAGATCGGAAACTAACTTGAAAAACTAAGTAACTTCAAAACGTTTCATATTCACAAATTAAATGCTATGTATGTCATAAAGTTAAAAATAAGCAAATGAAATAAACATACCGTGACGATATGCTATCTTATTAAAGCAATTCTGAAACACTTCATATAAACGCATAGGTTCTTCGTTGCTTCCCATTTTTTAATCTTTTTATAACAAAATAGAGATCTAAGTAAAATATTCTTTAACAAAACATTGATCATCTATTTTGGCTTTTCGACCTCTGCAAGCAGAGGACGCGAGCACTCATGCTTTTACTAATATTTCAAACTCATTTTGTGTAATAGTCCATGCAAAAGATTTCCATAATAACAACAATAATTAAAATTATGAAAACAAATTTTCTTTATAAGTTTCAGACGCTTCTAATTCATAACTCAAAGAGATGTTTCTCTTAGCAGATCACAGTTAAGCATTTTTTTAACACGTTTCGTTTTCTACTTGCTTCCGTTTCTTTGTTTGGAAAATTATTTTTCTTATAAAAGCGATATACTTTTTCGGTGATAGAATAAAAATAAAATTAACGATTTCTAATATAAATTAGTTGTAAATAGGAAATTTTCATTCTTAAATAAAGTTTAAATGAATAATTGCAAAAATCATTTAAAGCGGCATGGTTTTACTTTTTTGATTTGCGCCAAATTGATAAAGAATGTTCCTTCGCCAAAAGCGATAAATAACTCTACTTAGTTGCTCTCTCCACCACTTATACAAATTATTTCACTCTCTCCGCCCAACTTCGTTATTATCTCCGCCTCAAAAGACAGGATTTATTTTGGGTTTTCAAATTTGGAAATAAAACGTTTCATTTTCTACAACAAAACTGCAAATAAAAATTTTTGATGCTTCTTATTTATTTAATTTTATAAATTTTTCGCTTATTTTTATTTAATGCTAATGTTTATAGATGGTTGATCATGTAAAGTGAAGCACAGATGGCGCTAGGGGTTGAATTTCGTCCTAAGATTTCCGGGTTACCACTTTCGATTGATTTTTAAGTCTAAGCTTGAAAAAGAGCGCCATCCAATATTATTATACCTGTGGAGCTCTAAACTCGCAGCCTTCGAACAAACTAGGAAGAGAAAAATCACGTCATTTTGACGTCGCGTTTCTACTCCTAGGGAATAGAGCCCCTGAATTAGACCTCTGATAGTATAGGAGCCTTACTAGGGAAAACCTGAAACCTTGCGCTTTCGAACGGATTTTGCTAACGGACTACGATCTTCATTTTTCCTCCCATCTATCGGATGTCTTTCACCTAACAATTTTCTGGTGAAAGGAAAGCGATTCGAACGTTCGAATAGGATGCGTTTAACGCTGGGATTAAATTACATTTCCGATTTCAAAGATAATTTTTACCCAGATATTTTATGATTTTTTATAATCATTTACCTAGATATTTTATGAATATATTTCAGACATAATTTTTTCTCTCACAAATTTATTATTTCATATAATAAATGGATTAAATAATTAGTTTCGGTTTCTAGCAGAACTTATAATAAAATCTATAATAATCTTGCACAACTTTAAATAAAACGTGAAAAAAAAATTCTTGCTCCAAATTTTTGTGTATTCTTAGCCATACTACGTTTAGTATAATTAGTTTTTGCAGAACTTATAAAATCTATAACAATCTTGCACGACTTTAAATAAAACGTGAACATTTTTTCTGTTCCAAATTTTTGTGTATTCTCAACCATAATATGTTTAGTATAATTATTTCCGTGTTTTAATTAACTTTTATTTTAATTACCTCGCAACATTTTCAAAATATTTGCAGAAAAAAATGGAATTTTTTTCTTTAAAAAATTGGTGAGTTATGACTGAGATTAGTGCATAATAAGTAAAAAAGATTACTATAACTAAATCGTATATAATATAAATAAAAATTAGTATAAATTGTATACCTATTTTTAATCCGCTGTGCAATTTTCTATCAGAGATTTGAAAGAACTGAAGCTTTTAGAATATGATCGCTTTTGTAATTTTTATAAAGTAGTTGATTAGCTTAGATGCATAATTAAGAAGCATAATTTCATTTATTTTCACTTGTCTTTTGAGTTGGGTAGAATACAAGTGGGTAATAAAAAGCATGGAATATAAAGAATGGAAATTTTTTCGATATAATCATTTTTGAATTATTATTAAGTTGCAGATAAATTTAGATGCATAATTAAGAACATTTTTATTATTTTTTTTATTTTTCTGTTCATATTTTAAAATGCGAAAATTTCATCTTTTATTTTCTAAGTCAAAAAGATATTTTTACTCTTATATCAATAATGCCAAAATATATTCGATAATTTACTTTTTGAAAAATTATGTGTTATTTTTAGGAATAAAATTTGTTAAGATTAAAATTAAAAAAATTCTAAAATCACCTTCTTTAAATTTTTTTTGTTAGAAATAGCATTAAAAAAGCAATTGGATAAGAAAAACGTGTTAGAGTTATTTCTTAATCTTCTGTTTGACATTTGACCTTCTTAAAATAATTACTCCTTTAATAAAATGGTAAATAACAAATTTTAGGGTGGAAAAAAAGAACTTGAGCATTATTTTCTTTTCTGTTTTGAGATTCTCCATTAAGTATCAACTAAGTTATTCTAAAGATATTCACTTATATTTATTTGTTATTATTAAACTAGCGTTATTATGTTTTTATTCAAACAATACTTTAAATTATCTTAATGAATGCGATTAATTCTACTTCAAAAATTTTTTCCGAATTTATGCGACGTGTAAAGAAGAGAATTTCTTTTGAATTGCTTTAGCATAATTCATTTATATACAGAATGGTAAATCATTAGAAAAAAATATCCTGCGTCAACCAGAAAAACAATTGAGAGAATTTTGTTATTAAAAATGTGTGCAATGAAAACTAGTTGATATTTGCATCGAGTTAAACTACTAACACGAATTTGTAATAAAATAAAATCACGAATAATCCTTATGGCTAGACCTACAGCAATGGAAATGTATAACTAAAAGTTCTAACTCCCAAAAGCTCTAACAAAGTTCTCACAACTTGGCACCCTTGTCTTCTGAGTTGGATTCCATATACGAGCGTAATAAAAAGACCGGAATATAAAGAAAGAAAACTTTTTTAATAAAATTGTTTTTGAATTAAGCGTTTTAAAGTTGCTGATAAATTTAGATGCATAATTAAGAAACCTTTTTTTATTATTTATTTCCTTAATTTTCATGTTCTCAATATTTCAAGAAATTTTTTTTTTATATTTCTAGTCACATAATTATAACATCGAAGTACACTCGAAAATTTGTTTTTTAANGAATTAATCGTTTTAAAGTTGCTGATAAATTTAGATGCATAATTAAGAAACCTTTTTTTATTATTTATTTCCTTAATTTTCATGTTCTCAATATTTCAAGAAATTTTTTTTTTATATTTCTAGTCACATAATTATAACATCGAAGTACACTCGAAAATTTGTTTTTTAAAAATTATGTAATATTTTAAGAAAAAAAATTGTTAAAATAAACATTAAAAAATTTCTAAAATCACGTAGTTTTAAATATTTTGTTTAAAAATTGTACTAAAAAAATTCTAGACTAAAGAAAGCTTTTTAGTTATTTCTTAAACTGTTGTTTGACATTTGACCTTTTGAAAATACTTATTGTTAGTATTACAAATTTTAGGGAGAGAAAAAATCAAGCATAATTGTTTTCTCTGTTTAGAGATTTATTCTTAAATATTAGCTAAGTATTAATAATTTGCTAAGTATTATTAATTTTTAAATATTAACTAATATATTCTGTTTTACCTGTATTCATTGGTCATTATTATACTAGTCTTTTTTTGGTATTATTCAAATAATATTTTAAGTTATCCTCATTGATGCAATTAATTCTAATTTAAAAAGTCTCTTACAAATTTATGCGGCACTTAAAACAAATATTTTTCCGAATTACTTTTCTATAATTTATTTACATACATAATGGTAAATGATAAGGCCAAAAAATAAAATCCAGCATCAAATATAAAAACAATTGAGGATATTTTGAAATCGAAAGTATTAGAAATATTTGTAGCGAGTTAAACTTTAAAAACGAATTTGTGATATAAAAAAAATCGCGAACTGTCCTTATGGTTAGAACGACAACAGTGAAATTGTGTAACTAATAACTCCAGCATGAAATTCTTAAATAAAGTACGACTACTTGGCATCCTTGTCTTCTGAGTTGGGTTTAATGTAAGAGGGTAATAAAAGGCAAAATATTAATTGCAGAGAATTTTTTTCCAAATCTAGTTCAATGTAACACAACGATTGAAAATACCATTTTCAAAAAAAGAGATAAATTATTAAATTTGAAAAATAAATTTTGCATTGTTTGAGTTGCGAATTGTAATTTATTATGAAAAATATTATAAAAGAGATGAAAATAATGTTTTTTTGAAAAAATAACTTACAATTATTAAAATGTATAAGGTTACAATTGCGGAAAAAAAAGAAAAGAGGAATCATAACAAGAAAGGAAGTGAAAAATTGAAAAAGCAGTTTCTTTTAAAATTGTAATGCAAATTTTTTTTCAGATTATTTAAACTAACAATTATTTAAAAAATGCTAGTTTAAAGTTCATTTGATGCATTCTACCTATTTATTAAAGCTTATTTAATGCGCGTTATTTTGATACTTATTGTAGCTTTAAAACAAAGATTTAGTGGTATAAAGCTACACATTTTATCAATTCCAAATATAAAAAAAAAATAATTATAAATAATAGAAGGTAATAAAGTAATCATAAATATAAAAATAATTTTATAAATAATAAAATAAGTAAAAATAGAAAATTGCAAAATTTTGTGAAATTAAATAACCTTTATTAATCATTAGTTCGTTAAATCTAAAAGCTCTCGAAAGTATACATATAATTTTTAAAGTTTCATAATCTAGTGATAAAATTTCTGAATGAATCAATTACATTTATTTATAACAACATTCAAAGTATGATTTTTAGAAAAGGTAATAAATAAAGATGTATTTGATTTGTAATCTGCTGTTATTTTTTATTTTAAGAATATTTCTTTCCTTTTGGCAAACTGTTAGTAAATATAGTTATAAGTGAATCGACTCTCTAATAATAAATACAATAATGCAAACAAGTTTAAAACGAATACTACGTATTAAATTCTTGAAGGAAGATCAAAGATTAAAAAAAGTAGATATTTATTTTAGACTATGTATGTAATTGTCAAAATGAAAGAAGAATATATTCTCTTTCTGAAAGAGCACTGTAAACTCTGAGATAGAGATCACGACCCCTAAGCGAATGGAGAACGATTAAAGGATAAACAAAAGCCATTGGTCACTTATAACTATCAAAACAAAACGTCACTCCCTAGGGGATGGTCCGAACCTTTGTTCGAGGGCTGGGATTCCCTTCACCGCTCTCTTCGGGGGTTGCGAGGT